GATTTGGGATCAAACAGAATGCTCAAGTGTGTGGTCCATTCTGTCTCAGTACCAAAACACTCTGACAGAGAAAAAAGCCTCCATTTGGGTGGCCTGTTTCCTTAGGTATGGCTGCACATTCTAAGTTACCAGCCACTCCTGCTCGTGGGGCAGTGAACACACCTGAGCAGGGCCCTGAGGCTAACGCGTCTGACTTGCCAGCCCAGGGGACACTGTCTAAAGTCAGACAGAGGCCGTCCTGCCAGATCTTGGCTCCCCCACTGGTGACAAATGGAGTGAAGTTTGTCCCATTGACCTAGCCCTCGCTTTAGGCTGTGACTGGGGTAATCCTCAGTAGGACTTATGAAGTTGAGACAAGATAAGGCGACGGTGAACTCCTGCCAACACTCAGAGTGCTATTCTTTATGGTAATGTACACGAAGTTTAGATCATGAGGAGAACCTGCAGCCACTCCTCTACTAAACCAGGAATCCCTGACTGTGTCTAAACAATTGCCTTTGTACCCACAGAGAAGAGGGGTCCTCCCCCCTCATCAAGGAAGTTTCCCTTTACAAAAGGGGGAGACCACTACAGAAAGCCACGGCCAGTCACAATGCAGAGTTGTGGAGCCCAGTCCAGCCCATGAGTCTACAAAACATTCCTGCACCTAAGGCTCAGGGAACATTTTGGAAGAGAGGCCAGAAAGACTGTAAAAAACAAACAAACAAACAAACAAAAAACAGAGACACAGGGAGTTTTCTGTGAGACTGTGTATTTTAGAAATGGCAGAAGCCACACCCATGATGTCTCGCCAACATGACTGCCTAAACATGAGCCATACAAGGAATACACCGATAGCCGTCTTTTTAAAAGGTCAATGACATCAAGCACTTTCATAATGTTACACAACAACAGCCACTTCCTATTTCCTGAACTATTTGATTCTTCACCTGCCACTGGGTTTGTTTTTAGAGGATTTAGTTTATGTATTTATTTATTTATTATTATTTTTGAAGGTTTATGCTCACTGGTGGAACGGGCCCAAGGTTTTCCTTCATGTATGGGAAACATTGTCTTGCTTTTAACTGAGAGTTCTCCAGCCTCCTAGGATGAGCTGTGAAATTGCTCTTTCCCACATTCTGGAATGTTTTTGCGTGCAAGGAAATCGCTGGTTCCTTCGGAGTCGCTGGGAACTGGCGCACAAGTCCATGGGCAGTGTCTCTGTTAGAAGCAAAGCCTGGCAATCTTTTCAATACTTCAATCAAATTTCCTTCTCCTTCTTAGGTTTCATGATTATTTCTCCCTGGAAATCTTTCATTTAACCCACTTTTACAGATCTTAGCTACTTCTCATTTCCTTGTGAAAGGCCTAAGTTTTGTGTCTTTTGTGACTAACAGGCCGGAGACTAACTAGCCTGTGTAATCAATATTTAGATGCCTGTTTCCTGAGAACCACCTTTCATTCTGTTGTTTAAGTTTAGCAGGTTTTTTTGTTTTGTTTTTTTTATCTCACTAGCTTCTGCAAATCGTTCTTTCTCTCTCACTGTCTCTCACACACACACTGCGCATTCACAAATGCCATGCACACGCTTGCGTTCACATGAGCACACACAAAACAAATGAGTCAAGACTAATGTGTGTGATCTTTCTGTAAAGTGTATTCTCCCCACCTTTGATACAAAGTTATTTAAAAGGAAGTTTCAAGCATGCAGGGATCTTAGGGGCTCACAGAGACTAAAGCAGCAATCCCGGAGCCTGTGTGGGTCTGTCTCCGGCCCTCCACATACACACTGTGATTCTTTGGCTTGTTTTTGTTTGTTTGTTGGACTCCTAACAATGGGAGTGGAGGTGTCTCTGACTCTTCTGCCTGCTCATGGGACCATTTTCCTCCTACTGGGTCGCCTTGTCCCAGCCTTGATATAAGGGTATATTGCATACCTCGTCTTGTAGCATCTTTCTATGTCAAGTTCTTGTTGTCACTGGCAGCCCTGCTCTTTCCTGAAGGGAAACAGAGGAAGAATGGGTCTGGGGAAGAGGGCATGTGTGTGTGTGTGGCAGGGACTGAGAGGGGTGGAGGGAGAGGAGACTCTGGTCAGGATGTCTTGTATGGGGGGGGGGAGTTTCAGAGGCTGGGGACGGAGTTAAGTCATGAACCATGTGCCTAATGTGTGAGGTCCTGCTTTAATTCTCAGCACTGAAAAAGCAAATAAACAAAACAAACCAGAAACCATGTAGGTAGGGTTTTGATATAAATTTCTAACCCATTGACTTTTGGCCAAAGAGTGTAGCATGTATGATTTGACCTTTGAAACTTGTTGAGATTTGTTGAATTTTTTGGTGAACACTGTTTTATTACAGAATGTGTGTTTTCTGTTTGTTGGATACACGCTTGGTCAAGCTTTTAGATCAAGTTTGCTAACTTCTATGTAGTTCTCTGTCACTGCCAAAGAAAAGGTAAAACACATCTTGCTATAGAATCAGACTTGCTTACTTTCCTTTTCTCTTGGGTTTCCCCTTAATTCATATTTTCTGTCGTCAGGTACCCAGACTTTCAATATTTTGCTTGCAATTTTTATCACTTGGCACATTTTACCCTGAACTCTCTATCATGAACGCATACAAAGGCAAACAAAAAGATTTAAAATAGCTTGGACAGCTTTACTGCTATTCACCACTGTACTATATGAGTCAATGATATCTAAGGAAACCCACAGTTGCAAAGCCAGTTCCACAATTTTAGAACATGCTCATCTTTCCAAATACCCACTTTCTATTTTCCTCCAACTCACCTTCCTCACATGAGCCGTGGTTGTTTCAGGAAAGTTGCCTGTCTACATACTCAGTCTAAGAGTCCATGCCATATTTGGTCTTTTGTGTCTGGCTTCTTTCACTTGCAATGTTCTCAAGGGTCAGCCCTGATATGCACAAGGCTCATATGTGTTAATTAGTACTTCGTTCCTTTTGTTGCAAAATAATGTCATTAGATGCCTCTATTATTAGTTGGATTTTGGCTTGCCCTCTCCAAACCATCACTGTGAGGTTTTTTGTTTTTTTTTTTCCTAAGAGTTTGATAGGTTTAGCTCTTACGTTCATGCTTAGCATGTATTTTAAGTTGATTCTTATATAATTTTTTTTGCATATAGATATTCAGTTGTCCTTATGTTTTCTTTTGTTGGTATGAACTATGAACCAGTATGCCTGAGCAGTCAGAAGAAAGACACTCTGTCAACTATGGCACCTGCCAAGCAGGAGGGTTTAATATGGAGCCACTTTGAAGGTTTCCATTAGTCTGCAGCCATCCTACCCTGAATGTGCCGAGTTTGGTCTGAAATTTTCTGTTATCGTAGCATGAACTTAACAGCTCCTTGCTAACTATTCCATGGACTGTTGTTATTGATATGGTGTCACAGTCAAAAGCCAATACAAATAGCTCAAAAGATAGTCAAGGTATCCTCTTAGCTTCTGATTTGAGGTCTGATACATAAAGTCACTGGAACATTCTTATGTGAGCCTCAACTCCCTAGAATATTTAACAGCATGTAAGCTGTCATATTTGTCTTAAGCAGACCTACACTTGTATAAATTTGAATTTTTTATAGAGTGGTTCTTGTGCAGTTGGCATCAAGAGTATAATGTATCCAGAAAAAGCCCCCCGTTGTATGTTCTGCCCAGATTTTATTTTGAACTTTCTAGTGCTACCAAACCAAAAGGAACCTGCTCAACACTTTCTAAAACTCATTATTCTTATCTGAAGTAAGGCAGACATGGCTTAGGACATGTGTGAGCAATGATCAGTGGAACAGCATGTATGCTCTTAAAAATTCACAACCAAATCTTATGCTGACGTTTGATTAAAATAGTTATCCAGGCCAGGTGAGGTGGCACCTGCCTGTAATTCCAGCACTTGGGAGGCAGAGGCAGGCAGATCTCTGTGAGTTCAAGGCCAGCCTAGCCTACAGAGCAAGTTTCAGGGCAGCCAAGGCTGTTACAGAGACCCTGTCTCGAAAAACAAAACAAAACAAACAAACAAAAAAACAACAGCAAGAATCATCCAGCAAAACAATTGGCTAACCCACCACCGAATAGAATTTCCAGTATCAGTCTCTTCTGAGTCACTCGTGAGGCCAGCATTGAGACTATTAGCCCTGTCTTGGTCACTGGGACCTTTCATTCGTTATGGAGTAAATGTTAGGGTTGGCTTTGTGCATCTTTTGTAACTGAAAATCTTTGCTTTGTTTGGTTTGCTTTGTTCACTGAGAAAACTAAATTAATTTTGGTATCCCTGTATTCGTAGCAACAAAGTATGGAGTCAGGTCTCATTGCTTCTAGTTAATCCACAAAAGGAAGAGATAATTTTTCTCCCTAAGATATCAAAGTCAATATTGAATTTCCTTATGAGTGGGGCCAATAATGACCAACGTCAGTGTGTTCAAATGCACTGAGTAGTTTTTCAGTCTCGGGAGGGACGTCCTTCCACTTGTGAGACTCAGGAGTTCCAGATCCATTCTGCTGCGGTGCAGGGCGAAAGGTCTCTATTGTCCAGGTCGCTTGAGTGAGTGACCGCTTCATGCAAATACCCGGGACTTGACTTGTCATCTGGAAAGGACGGTGACTGATGGTCCTAGCCTCTTGCCCCTTGCAAGGTGCGCCTCGACCACTGCATTCGGCCCTGGCTGGGTTCATTCCCGCAGCGGGTGGAGAGGGCACTGTAAGTCCCACCCGGGGCCCCGGGCTACCTGCTGGTTTCGGGTCAGCCGGGGTGCGGAGCCGTCGGGATGGGGGGGGGGGGGGGGGCGCCGTCGGATCTATGGACTGGCCAAGCGCTGCGGTCCCCGGGAGGGGCGAGCGCGGGTCCGAGCGGCCGAGACGCGGGCGGGCGGGCGAGCGGGCGAGCGGGCGGAGCATGTGACCGCGGCGCGCGGGGCCGGGCGCGCAGTGCCGCGCGGTGGCGGCGGCGGGGAGAGCAATGGAGGCCGCGGGCTCCTGAGAGCCGGGCGCGCTGGCTGGGGCTGCCGCCGCCGCCGCTGCTGGAGCTGCTGTCGCCGCCGCTGCTGCTGCGGAGCCTCCGCGGGCCGCGACGCTCCCGGGACGCGCGTCGCTCCGTCCGAACGGCAGGTGAGCGCCCCCGGCCCGCGGGGACAGACAATGGGCGGCTTCTCCCTCCGGGCGGGCCCGACCGAGTCCCGGGGCGCGGGAGGTCTTTGGGGGCGGCGACCCTCCCTCCCCAGCGCGCGCCACGGCCCCTCTCTTCCGGACCTCGGCGGGGCGTGCGCGCCCCCGGGTCCCCGGGACGAACCTGCCGGCTGGCTGCAGCCCGGGGAACTTGCCGGGAGCGAGGGACCCGCGCCGCCCGGCGCCCCTGCCCGCGCCCTGCCCGCGTCCCCGGGTCCCCCCACCGCGCACAGCCGGACCTCGCCAGCCCGGAGCCGGGACGCGGAGCGGCTCAGCCTTGTCCTCCGGACCGCACGGCTTTGTTTAACCCCCGCCGCCGGGCCGGTGCGCGCCAACTCTCGCTGCCCCGGTTCCGATGAGCCACCGGTCTGCTGGCAGAGGCGACGAACAAAGGTTTCCCTCCCGGGGCCGGAGCCGCCGGGCGCCGCGCGCCGCCGGGGCGTGAACCGGGCTCGCCGAGGTCTTCTCCCACCGCGATGGTCTCCCCGCAGCTCTAACCGCCCTTTCTCCGGGAGAGCTCTGTGGGGGGCGAGGTGGGACCTCTAACCCCTTGAATGCGGTGGGTGGGGTATGGCTTTTTAAAAGCACCGAGTGTCAGCCAAGAACAGACGTTTGGATTTTCACGTTAGATGCTTTCACACCCGAGACATCGCAATGCTTTTCTGAATTGTGGGTTTTAAGGGAAGAGTGTCGATTTTTTTTTTTTTTTTTTTTAGATGTTGATTCGGTGTAGGGGGAGGGTGGAGAGGACCTAGTAACTGTGACCATGTGCTGTGAAATTTTAATATGGTTTTACGGATAAAGGCCAGGAAGCTGATCTGGCATTGGGTGTAGGTTGAGGGCGTGTGTGTGTGTGTGTGTGTGTGTGTGTGTGTGTGTGTGTGTGTTAGGGAGGTGGCAGTCAGGAAGGGGAGTGGTTAGAATACAAAGGATAAGGCAATTTTAGTAAAAGGCTTGAGCAGATATCCCATGGCAAATGAGCAATTCATTAAGCTGTCCGTTAAATCGATCCCCCTTAAAAAAAAATGCTCTACAGTAGTTGTTGAATTATATAATAAAATGGCTAATGGTCATTTGGCATTGTTTGTGACTCGGGCATCTGGACAATTTTGAATAATTTTTAGAGTCAACAAAGGGAGGGCACCTTCACGGCCACCGCCTTTATTACTTGGGAGACGCCTGGCCTTCCCACCCAAACCCCCAAGAGAAAATTGCCTATGAGAAAAAAGAAATTCAGAGGACAGTTTTTAAAAGAAATATTTGAAAATGTGTCTTGTATAGGTTATGTGGTTGCATTATGGATTATGTTAGCTCAAAATGTGTGTGTGGAGTGTCTGCAATTGTATATTTGTATATATATATATATTATATACATAATACTATTGATTAGTTAAATTTTACTCCAGAGTTTTTGTTTAGAGTCACCTGTAACAACTGAGAAAACTTTCAGGACTTGGCAGTATAAGCCGAGCACTGAATCTGGAGCCAGGAAGGTAATGATGCTGGCGTGATAGACTTAGGTAATTGGAATAAGAATCAAAACTATACAGCTCTTCACAGATTACAAAGCGCTGTGATAGCACAAGCATTATTGCTGGGTGAATAAGCTGCATTTTGTGTTTTTCCTTATACAGCTTTGTAACAATTATCTTTCGTCCGTTTTTATGTATGTTTGTGTGTGTGTGTACTACTCACAAGTGCGTGCGTGTGCACTCGTGAGCGTGTGCACTCGTGAGCACGTGCGTGGTGTGTGTGTATGTGTGCAGCCTGTGGAGGCTAGTGGTTTGATGTTCTCCATCTTGTATTTTGAGACAGGGTCTCTCATTGCATTGGACCTGAAGCTCTGATATCCGTTTGGCTGGACTGGCCGGTCCCCTCAGCAGCTTCTCCACATACTGTCTTTTGTATGTGGGCTGAGGGTCCAAAGTCAGGTCCTCCACGATCTGCATTCCTTTTTTCTTTCTTTCTTTCTTTCTTTCCTTCCTTCCTTCCTTCCTTCCTTCCTTCCTTCCTTCCTTCCTTCCTTCCTTCCTTCCTTTTCTTTCTTTTCGACAGTCTCATTTAGTCCTGCCTGGCTTCGACCTCACTGTGTAGCCTAGAATGGCAGGGAAGTCCTGATCCTTCTGCCTCCACCTCCAGAAAGCCGGGATTGTGGGTGTGCGCCTCCATGCTGAGCCGCAGTCGTATTTCCGATGTGGCACAGAGTGGCTGGTCTTCAGCAGTTAGTGGTGGAAAGAATAGGCTAGGGATAAAAATGAAAATGAATAAAATAAGCGTGCAGGCGTGGCAGGCTGGCTTTCATGAACATTTGCTGAAGACCTGCTATGTACCTACAACTGAAGAGCATTTCCACCCTGGGTTCATGAAAGCCTGGTGCCTGCCTTTTATGGTCATAGTTGGTTTGCATATTCATGAAGCGTGGGGCCTTCTAGGTGGTCCCAGTGAAGCTCTCCTTTAGCTGGAGAGGACAGTAGGACATTTCACTTGCTAAGTGTGCTTATTTTTCACAGTCTCCTTGTGCAACACAGGGGCAGATGATATCATTCCGATTTGTAGGTAAGGAAATCTAGATGCAGTGGGATTAAATGACTTGCCAACTCTTGCCACCAAAGCAACAGTGCCAGGGGCAGAGGCTGGAATGCAAGCCTGCTTGCTGCTTCGGCCCCTGAATTTCAACCTCCCCTGAGCCATTCCGCACCCCTGAAAAATGACACTCTAGCTAAAGCCATGGGAAAAGTCTACAGCCAGGATAAATTTTATACAAGGAATAGCGAGTAAGTAAGCCAAAGTCTTGAGTTGAGGGACTGCGTTTGCAAATGGCTGCCCTATGTAAGGAGCCTTTTGTCTTGGCAAGTAGTTGAAAATTTCGGTCTCCTCCTCTGTGAGGTTCCTTCTTCCTGAAGGAATTTTGTGAGGGTCAAATGAAACGACACGCACATATCTTTTGCACAATATCAAACACCAGCTAAACAGTTAAGGATAGCTTATTTTTATCCTCACTATTCAAAGGTAAAGGGGTGGCTTTGAATTCTGGGATATATTGTTCCTTGGTATACAGACTCGCCGTGCGTGCGTGCGTGCGTGCGTGCGTGCGTGCATGCATGTGTGTGTGATTTTTTTTTTTTTTTTTTTAGGACTGGGGCTAGGAGCCTGCAGATGCTAGGCAATCTGCCCATGTCCCCATCCTGTGGCTTTTGGGGACAGAGTTGATATGTAGTCTAGCCTTCCGCCTCAGCCTCCCAGCTGCTGGAATTGTTGACACACACACCACCGTGTCCATCACCAGTGACACATGTTTAAGCCCTTGAAGTATGTTTAGATTTTTCTACGGGTGTTTTCTACATCATTCTTAAGATGCTGCTTTAGCTCCACTGAAGAGACGGGAAGGATTGCCAGGGGAAGCACACCCGGGAAAAATCCGTTGTTGCGTCTCTACGCTTTTCCTTCAAAATCTTTACCTCAGGTGAAATTTGAATATTAAATAACATATGAAAATGCGTTCTTAGAGGATCAAATGGTGAAGCGCTTGCCTAGGACGTTCGAGGGAGTGCAGCCTCCCCCCATCCCAAAGCGTACGTGTTTCTTAAACATTTCTATCCTTGGTAATTGACGTTTATTGAGTATTTCTCGTGGTCAAGGTCCCAAGCTAAGCAGTCTATTTAGGCGTTATCTAATTTAGGGGGCCGGCAGGGGGCCTTATGTTTCCATTTGATAATTGAAGTTAGGACTCAATGAGCTTCTTATGAACTTGTAAAAGGTCCCAAAGTTAGTGAGGGACAATGAGGGGGTTCAAATTGAGTCCTGCTGGACCCCAAAGCGTGTCTCTACTCTTGACCCCCCTTCTCTTCTGGAGTCCCTTCCCAGTGACTGCGGCAAAGAGTTCATGCCTTAAGTAAAACCATAAATTTGGGTGGCAACATTTATATTTTCCCTAATATAGCACATGTTTTATAGCTTCCTTTGAAAGCACTCATTTGAAGTCCATTTCTAACTTAGTTTATATGTATGAGAGCTTACACAGGAAACCAGTAATTCATTTTGACTTGGCTGGTCTTTAAAGTAAATATTTTGGAATAGCTTCCCAGGTTTTTGTGATAGAGTCAATTAATTGGTCATTTTTATTGCACGCCCAAAGGTTTAATATATCTTCAGAAGAGACACAGTATAGCTGTGTAACTATAAAAAGACTTCATTACAAATGCGTGTCGGCTGTTGTTAAGGCACAAATGAAGACTTAAAAGCCACAGAAGGTACTTTATAGGGTATCGATCGGTCTCAAAATCACAAAATACATGTAAGAATCCACCATCAACTATTATACATGTATATTGAATATATATTTCAATTTTTTAATATATATTTCAGTTTTTAAATCAGCATTTCTTATGTTTTAGTAATTACTTGATTGTAATATATATTGTTTCTGGGACTCCCTCACTCTTTTTTTTTTAAATTAAATTTTTTTTTTTTTACTAATTATAGTTTATTCAGTTTGTATCCCAGCTGTTTCGCTTTGTACCCCAGCTGGACTCTCCCACTCTTAAAAAATGTTGTCAGGAAGCTGCAAAAGTGGCTCAGGGGATAAAGTTTTTGCTGTGCAGACATGGGGACCTGAGTTTGGATCCCTGTCACCCACATAAAATGTAGGACATGGTGGCATGTATCTTTAACCCCAATAACAGGGGTGGAAATGGGGGCTCCCAAGGGCTTGCTGGCCAGCCAGGCTAGCATAAATGGCGAACTCCAGATGCAGTGAAGGACGCTAGCTCAAAGACTGTAAGATGAACAACAGGCAATTGAGTACAAGCACTTTCTTAAAGCGCTGCCTTTTTATTTTTTTGAGATAGAGTCTCATGTAGCCCAGGTTAGCCCCCAGAACTTTATGTAACTGAGACTGGCCTTGAAATCCTGATCGTCCTGCTTCTACCTCTCAGATGGTAGCA